TGTCTGCCTAATGCCAAGGCCACATCTTGAAACAAAGGAGTGGCAAGCTTTTGAAAGTATTGCAACCACCAGCCGGAAATGGCTGCACGATTTTATTTCAACTGACTTCAGTGCCATTGGCCATTGCAGGAGGGGGGATTTTGTGTGTTGCAATATCACGGGGTGAGTGAGTTAGCAAGTAAGTGATTGTACGTACCTGCATAATTAATGGGAGTAGGGTGTCATAGGATTCGCCGTTGAGGGGTCTGGGCACCGTTGGGGCAGACGGCATCCACAACCTACCGTTGTACCCNNCCCCCCCCCCCCCCCGCCCCCCGCCGATTTTTTTCCTGCAGGAACACAGCAGCGCACAAAGCCAGCTTTTGTCATCGTCGTGCGGTTCGTTCCTATAGCAAACAACCGCAGCTTTCTGTCAGCCCGGCTGGGGGGATCTCCCACTTGTGGAGAGTGGAGAGCTCATTTGCAATGATGAGGTATCGGGCCGCCCAGAAGGGCAGCACGAGGTTTCTCTTCGATTGCTGATCAAGTGGGCCCCCTGTGCTGGTCCTGAAGCCCTGCTAGCGTCTCATCTCCGGTTTAGAGTTTAGGGGTTTAGAAGTTTCCACCTCATGTAGTTTGGGAGTCCAACCTCGAGTAGTCCCAGATCAGCCGTTGCAAACATGGTGGCAGCTGAAGGATCAGGACAAGGTGTCTCGTGGATGGGATCTCCAGCACGATCAGCTGGACGGAAGGATGGACCTCCTGTGGCATCCAGAGCAGTCGATGGCATGTTTGTGCGAGCGGGCCAGAATGCGCATGTGAGTGAGTGAGAGAGAGAGAGAGAGAGAGAGAGAGAGAGAGTGCCTGTGTCTGTACCTCATAGAAGCAACGTGTCACGCGGCCACATGACACGACACGCTATTGTTTACCAGCATTCTTTAATCAGGCAACTGGTGCTTGGGTAGTGTGGCACTTGCGCCTACGACACTCAGCGAAGCTGTGTATTCAAACGGGAAACCGGATTGGATCAGTCAGATCAGAAGGTGAGCCCCTTGTGGCACCACAAGTAGCAGTTTTCCAGCCAACGTGTTGCAAGCTTTTCAGGGTACAGCAGGGACTGCAGCAAGCACGGCTGCAGTGCGTTTTTCTTGTGATCCAGCAGCTCACCAGTCAGTATATCGCAACGCTGTGCAGTGTCGCGAAGGTGCATACAACCAAGCACGGGCTTATGCGAATCTTCAAAGCTCAGAGCTTAGCTGCTTAGCTTACGCATTTCGAAGAGCTCAGTTCCGATCACCCTTCGCTTCCAAGGTGCTGGGGGTTTCAGAAGAATCCAAGGCAGCGAAGCTTTGCCTCGTTTCCACGAGTAGTCATCGCGAACACGAGTCGGTTAAGTGAAAGCCCAGCCTGCCCTGCAGAAATGGGTGGCAGATCCTGCGAACCGCAAGTGTGATGCAGAAGGTAGCTGGTATTGTGTCGGCTCTTGCCTAAGTTCACGGGACAGTGACCCTCGAATTGTCGGTTGCCGGAGTAGATATCGTAGGAGCATGTAGGAGCTGTCCGCTTGCAAGGTCAGTACCCGCCATCATTGCACAAGCTCATTTCAAAACGAAAGAACTTCGCCCAGCTCGAGGAGAGATGGCTTGGCCAGTGCTTGTTACACTCCTCCATGTGCTATCTGTCGCTCAACCAGGACTTCAACCGAAAAGATGGAGAGAAGAGTGCCTACACTCGTATGGTGCCTTCATGGAATTGCTCGTAGACAAAGGAAGCAGCAGATTAATTATTAGATGGGCTGATTGTGGGGTCGGTCCATGCAAATGTATCTCTATCCGATTCTGCCACAGCTGTTTTTGCACAACAATGGTCTGCCAGAGACAACTGGGTGAGGCAATGAGGCTAAGTGGCTTGGCTCTCAAATTTGTTGTTTGCTTTCTGCTTGGTTCGAACTTCAAAAACCTACAATAGAACGTGCCTTTGTAGGAATTGGGAAGGCCAGTTCAGAGTCCTGCCGCGTGGTCGGGTCACGAAATGAGCTCGCAATTAAACAGCCAAGATAGCCCAAGAAGTAGCTTTGCAGTGCATTCCGTTGTTCCGTGACTGCGCGACACGTGAATGATTGGCGGGACCTAAGGTCGCTTATGCTCACTTCATCCGCGGCGTGGACAACTCTTGCCAGCTGGCAAGCGCGCATTCAGCCAGACGGACCCCAAGCAGAGTGGAGTCGAAGTCAACGTTGTCAAACTTCGGCCCTCGAGCAGGTTGCCCTGGGTGTCAGCAGCACTTGCGGCCTCGTGCGCAGGCATTTACGCGCTTGTGGTACAGAAGCAGCGGTGGGACCGAGAAGCTCAATTAATGAAGGAAGCTGACGAAGCTGAACTGCGCAGAGCGAGGATGGAAGCCGAAGCTGCTGCAGCGGCGACTGCTGAAGCAGAGGCGCAAGCTGCGCAAGCAAAGGCCGCGAGGGAAGATGCAGAGCGAATCCAGAAGGCGGCGATCGCCAAGGAGTCGCAAGAGGCACAGGAAAGGGCACGAAAGGACTTGGAGCGGCGACACGCTGAATTTGCAGCCGTAGCTGGGCAATGCTCCCAGTTACTGGCAGATCTCAAACTGGTGGTGGAGGCTACAGACTACGTTGAAGTGGCTCCGCACACGGAAGGCCTGTCAGAATTTATGCAGCTTGCGCAGGCTTTCGTTGATGGAGAGTCCTTCAAATCCCTGCAGGAATCGTCACTGGACGGAATGGCTGAGCTAACAGCCCAGTGCGCTTATGCCTTGTCAGCGGCCAAAGATCACCTGGCGAAACTGTCCAAAGCACAGGCTGCAGAGAGGCTTTATGAAGCAGCAGCAGCCGAAATGCGTGCTGAAAGGCAAAAATGGCTTTTGGGTGAAGATGTGGATGCACATGCTTTGGGAAGTGCCCTTGGTCGTGCACAAGATGCGTTGTCCGAGCTGAGAAGTTGTGGCCTGGAGATGAGCTTAGAGACCATAGATGGAAGCCAAGTTTCGGCTGCACAATCGGTTCTTTCAGAGCTTGAGGAGGCGAGGCAGAAAGAGCAAGGCTGGGAGCAGAATAGACAAGCACTGCAAAGTGCAGTTGCAGCTCAGGATGCTGCTGCTTGTGAAAGTGCTTTGAAGGAGGCCAGTAATGCGGATTGCCCGCTATCAGCTGCCATGGCGCTTGCTGAGGAGATGAGCCTCCCAAGACAGATTGACATATCTGAGGTCGCGAAAGGCATGCAACTAGCACCTCTTTCAGAGCAGAGTGGCGAAGTCGACTATGTTGCAGCAGCTGCAGCAGCCAGTTCTTTCGTAAGCAGCTCCGAATTGTCGGACCAGGCCTCCTCCTTGGCTAAAGAGATTGCCACTCAGTACGTGCTGGATAAGCAAGAACTCGCACATGCTTCGCAGTTGCTGTTGCCAGAATGGGCGAATCAATGCTCTCAGAAAACCACTCAGCTCTCCCGTGCTTTTGCTGGCCAGAAATCGAAGCAGAAGCTGCAGCTCATTCAGGACTTCCAGCAAACTGCTGCCGATCGCCGCAAGCAGGCGATCAGAGAAGCCATGGGTGAGGTGCAAGACGAAGTTGAGAAGGACATCTATAGTTTGCAGTCGGCGCAGATGCAAGCTCTCTGGGCAGAACTAGCCCAAGTTCGCGGCAGCTTTGACGACCAGTTGCGCAGCTTGGGGCAGGCCCCTGAGCGACTGCAGCAGCTATGGAGCTCTGACAGAAGTCCAGACGCCCAGGCTAAGAGTGCCAGTCTCTCAACACTGAACCTTCTAGCTCTGAGAGAAGCAAGCAGGGAGGAGCATGCAGAGAGCACTGACGCATTCGCCAGCAGCGTAACAGCTCGTGTGATAACGGAGCTGACGGCGCTTGGAAAGGGTAGCGTCAAAGAGATTCCAACACAGCAGGAGCTGCAGCGGTCCTTCCACGACGAGTTGCCAAAGCTTGTCGCTGCAGTCTTTGAACCCCGAACTGGGCTTGCCAGTAGCTTTGTTGGCCGAATATTCGGTATGATGTATGTGCTGAGAAGTGAGCAAGAGGAGGCATCAACACACGCTGCTCTGGAGTCCAGACTCGGACAACGCATTCCGACAGTCGCGCCTGAGGATGGCGTACACAGGCAGAACCAAAAGAACAATCTCCGCACGCTGGCCTTGGCAATGCACTTAGTGGACACCGGTCGCTTGGCAGAAGCGGTTGACACTTTGGACGGCTCTTTGAGGGGCCCTTGTCGCTCTCTGGCCCATGGATGGATGTCGCTTGCACGCATGAGCTTGCTACTGCAGCAGGCATCTGAAGCTTTGCTTGCTCGATCCCTGTGCCTTAATGCCGGCCTGTCGGACTAGCGGCCTTCAAGATGGGGCACGCATGATTGTTGATGGGTTTGATTGTGATCTGAATCTTCTCTAGAGGAGCAGCGCTGCCCCCGAGCCTGAAAAGGATCGTTCCAGTGTTCCACTTAGGCTTGTGCTATTGCCACTCGAGCCCCATGCTTTAGACCATCCCTGGTCCCCTTGCACACGCTGCAATGTCAGAGAATCGGCTGGAAGCATTCCTTTGCCGACTGGCCAGGTGGAGGAGAAGATGAAGAGGGAGGAAGCTGGCTGGGACGATCACATCTGAGGAATGCATGTGCGCTTCGTCGGCAGCAAACGCACGAAATGCCTGCAGCACCAGCTGAAAGTGCGCAAGGCATCAGTGCAGGGCACGAAATGCTTAGCGGCAGAAAACACGAAAGTGTCCTTGGTTGCTGACAGGTCTGAAGTGGACATAGCAACGTTCACTCTTTTCACCTCAACCGCGGCACGATACTGGCTCTTGCAACATGCCCTCGTCAACTGCAAGACGGCATCGGCTTTGCATAATTGGCGGGGGGGGGTTCGTGCATACTCGTGAATTCAGATTCCCGGCTGATGCAGGATTTGAATGGATTTGAGCCTGGATTTCGAAGCATCAGTGTCAGAACTACCCGGTCTTGCTCCGCTTGCCCTGCTGTGCGTGGTCGATGCTCTCCTGGGAGCCGGCATGGCGCTTGCACGAAGGCGGAGGCCACGGCACGTGACACAGCTCAACACCGGTGTGATTTGCTTGCGAGGATGGGGCTCCATCTTTTGCTGGCTTCTGGGCTGCACGTGCCAGACCAGACACCGAGACAGCAGCCAAGGGATGTCAAGAGCTCTCGTGGCAAACTCTACCTTCATCGCTGGGCCAGCATGGCCCAGCTACCGAAGTCTAGGGCTTCCAAGCTTTGGGAATGTTTCAGCGGTTGATTCGGGTGTCAGTCGGTACTGGTATTGATTGACGCATCCTGAATCTGATGTTGCGGTTAGAGATCTGCTTCGATTTCATCTTTTTACAGAGCACTGAACTGGCAGGTGGCGACTACTGTACAGGGACCGTGAAAGGGGTCGAGATCGGATCAGGCAGTGACGTCGAGCTGGTCCGTGAAGCACGGAAGACCCCACCCACTTAGGCAAGTTGTGAGAGCCGGCTATCGGACCCTCAAGAACTTGCGACCACAGTACATTGAATCAGGGCATGCAGCAGAGGGCCTGCAGGCCAGGCATAGTTAGCCAGGCACACTTAGTCGGATCTCGAGTCGTGAGCATCAGAGTAAGTTTGGCCCGGTGCCTGGGATCCGTAGCTACTTGGAGTTGATATTAGTTGTTCTTCGACCATTTGGTAGTTGCCGGAGTTTGCAAACCAAGAGAGTAGAGGAGGAGTGCGATTCGACAGAACTTCAGCTTGGGCAATGCAAACACGACCATTTGCACGTGCAGGGGCCCGAAACTATGCCAGGACTCATAACTGTTACTTAGCCGATGCCGATACGACGTGATCGTCTGAGGGCTTGACGTGGTCGCTGGCTTTGGATGAGTCGCCGTCGAGCCTTGGAACCGAATATTTGGAACGTGAAGCCACAATGTGATTTCTGCAGCTTGTGCTGATGGAATTCGCACGCATGCTGGACTTGTGCTGCCACGAAGTAAGTGGTTTGGTGGCCAGGAAAGAAGGTGTGCACATCTGCCTGGCCCTCGGAACACGGCAGCTGCAATCAGAGCCCACAGGTGCAGGCCCACCTGTGTCCTTGGAGCCATTTTGCGAAGATTCCAAGCACCCAACCAATCACCAACAGCTACTTCAGAGTAGCTATACAGCGGGACCTGGTCAGGCCCGACCCCGCAACCTCTATGTCACCACTTCTTGTATACATCTGGCGAGGGACTGGACCCAATCACCACTGAAGGGAGACCAACACTCATGCATCATCATCATCATCATCATCGTCTCCCATGTGCAACAGTCTGTCAGGACATGACGTGGACATGCGATTTTTTATATAGAACAGTCAGTGACATGACGGTCAACATCTGCAGTTCAGCAAGCCTCAAGTCACGGCCTGATCAACATCGACCAACGAGCGAGTGTGTTTGGATGGGTGCTCCCCGTTGTTGCGTCCTTTGGGTTAACATGTTGGGAGGGGTAAGGAGGCTGGCACTGCAACCGTGCCCTGCCAGGATGCTTTCTGGGGGTCTGAGGGACACTGTTCAGGATTGCGCGGCTCGCCCGTAGGGAGAAAGCTGCAGCATGTTCCCCGACTCATGGCGGTGCCGTGTCGCTGGCTTGAGGAGCTTGCACAAGTTGCCGACTCGGCGCCTGAGACAACCCAGCGCCCCTTTAAACCGGCTTCTGGAAGGTTTGCTCGGCCATCGCCCATGACAGCACCAAAGGCGTGTGACAATCTCAAAATTAGATCGTCCACAGGATCCGCCTGCAGATGCTGGACGGAAGTGAAGCGCCTCTGCCAGCCTCTGTCGTCTCGGAGCTGCTGAAGTTACTTTTGCAGTGTGTAGTGGATTTTATACGTTTCGATGTACACAGTTGTGGTGCGACGCTGGAGGCTTTCAGGACAAAACAGGAAGCCGTCTTGAGCAGCAAACTAGCTTCGGAGCATCTGTGATGCGCCTCTATGTTTCCTTTTGGACCCCCACCACCTCAAGAGCTTGGTTCTTGCCGAATGGCAGATTCACACCACAGCACGATCACCCTGTCGCGTCAGCGTGCCATCACACAGCGGCTTGCGCCGACGACCAGGACAGGCCAACCCAAGAGATTGCAGGTACCTTACCTGGCAAACTTTTTGCAATTACGAGTGGCCCTCTTCGTCCATGGACGAGAACAGTACACACACACACACACTCTCGCGCGACTCTCCGAGAGGTAGTCTGCTGCCTGCCACTTTTTGTTGTGCCGAATGCTGTTGTTGTTGTTGTTGGTGCGAGGAATTTGCCACAGACTGCAGTTGCAGTGTCGTGGCACGTGCTGTTGGAGACTGGCTGCTGTTGATGCTGCACGGAACAGGCAGTTGCAGACTGCTGTTCCAGTTGCACAGCCTACACTGCTAGGGACCCCGTCATCCGTTATCGCTGCAAAGCAGCTGACGACTTCGCTGTTGCGTGGCGGTGTGTGATGTGGTAGGGCGTGATGGGGGGCGGGGGGTGGAAGCTAGGCTGCTGTCTCTTGTCAGGCTTGTGGTGAGGATGCGGTGCTGGATGTAGTCGCGGTCGTCAACAAAAAGATGTCCTACTTCCTGCAGAATCGCATGCTCTACTGCACATACCCTTGGCGTAACTGAGAAAAGATGAGAGTAACACATCGAGTCAGTATAGCGGAGGTAATGCACCTGCCTTTGCACTAAACGCACAATTACCACACTTGCGCTCATGTCCGACACACATGCCCTTACACATATACTCTATCGTTGCCATCTTGCTTGGTCAGAACCAGACCTCCCCGCGATGTAGTAGAATACTGTGCGTGGCCTTCCGCGAGACTGAATAAACGCCAGATCGGCATCGGCACACACAACGACCGCCCCCCAACGAGGGCCAGCACGGCGCCGTGACGGAAAGCCGTGGTCATACTTGGTCGCTGATCAACTCGTCACCTGAGGCTTGCTGAACTGCACATGTTGGCCCGTCATGGTGCGGAAGTGGCGGCTAAGCTGTGCAAACACCAGCCAGTGAGGAAAAGACTGGGTGCAGGGCCACGAAGCCGGTGTAAAGACAAGATGTGCCAGGCAACGCTCCTCCTTCAATCTAGTTTCATGTAAGGTAATCCAACTTGGTCTAGTCTGATCTGATCTCTCGCATCGAATACCTAGTATCTAGCATCAAATACAGTGATCCGTTGGCAGCCTTAAAGTCCCATGGCTGGCTGCTCTGCACTTGCGCTAGTGTATTACTGCTCCGCCCTCGCCCCTTTTTTTGCGATGGTCTGGCGCGCAGCAGAGGAGAGCATGTAAACATGCATACCTGCAAACTTACAGACAGACAGACAGACATACATCCATACTGAAGTACTGGTATAAAAATGCTTAAGCACACGGCTAATCTTAAAAAATTACATGGTGGGTGTATGTGGGGCTGCCTGACCAAGAAGTGGCTGCTGGACTTTTCGTGCGCTCAAGCGCCCAGGCCGAGACACACCTGGCTGGTCGAACGGGTGGTCGGGCTGCGCTTGGCTGCCTGGTGGCAAGGACGGATCAGTTGCAGCTCCTTCGAACTAGTCCTAGCTGTGTGCATTTGTCTAGGGACAGATCTCTGGCAGGATCCTGCACTCTGCAGACCTACTATCAATGCCAGCTGGCCATCAACCTCAGGCTGGTCTCTCAAGCACGCAGTCCCGCCTATTCAGTTGCGTGTCGTGTTCGAGGTTGGACTTGTGAATACTACCGGCAGCAGGGCCTTTGCGGGAAACTGAACGGCGTTGTGAGGGAGATCCGACAGTCTGCAAGGCCACCAGATGCACCAGAGAGGATAGTGAGAAAAAGCTGTGATGATGGACACAAGGAACTGCACTTGCTCCTTTTCTGCAGGGGACGATTGCACAACTGGCCTGAGAAGAACTGCTGCGGTTGCGAATCTCAGGCACGCCTGCTACCCGTACAATGGCCCGCACTTCCTGTTTTGGACCTGCCAGGACGACACCTCATGCAATCGGCAAACTGGAAAAAGCTGCGCCTTGGAATTTGGGTTTTGTGGCGCATCTCGAGGGCCGGCCTACTGTTCCTTGGCTCCGTGCTGTCCGGTCTTGACTGTACCGACATAGCTATTGGGGATATTCATGGCCTCGTCGCCACTTGAGGTCACAACCTGTCCACCTGCCTTTGCTTACCGGGCCACTGCGCCTCCACGGAGGGCTACTGCTCGCTTCAAGTTCCTGTGCAGGCGGACATCTGGTGTTTTCAAAGCTGCTACATGCTTACCCAAGGTGGCCAAGCCTGCCGTTTCGTAGGCAAGCCCACCGTGCATTTGCCCAGTCGTGAAAGGCATGCGCATCTACA